AAATACCCTACAACTTAGTCTCTAATATGGTTGCCTTGCTGGGTCAGTCAATGCATCTCAAAATGTGGTGCCTGCCCTCTGCCCTTGTACCTCCAGGCCAGAGTTTGCCATTAACTCACGCCCAGCCTCCAGGGCTAGGCAGGCTGGTTTCCCACCAAGTGGGAGAAGCCAAGGCTTTCTGTTTGTCTAGCCTATGGAGAAACTTGACCTCTCCAACATATTTTTCCCAGTAGACCACTAAGATTTCTGGCATGGACAGGACATCTCCTCTTGTCCTGCTTGTGTATCTCCATCTCCAATCTCAGTGGCTTCCCTGTCTTCGCTTCCTCTTCTCTCCACACGGCCAACTCCTCATTTCTGAAATAGGCTTTTCTCTTCACTCCATGTTTCCTACAAGGTCACTGCCATATGGGGTGGCAAAGAAATGATGGGTATATTTATAGCAGTTAGGGAAACTTTATTTTGGATTTGGAGAACTTCCCCCGCCTAAATCCTCTCCTATAATAAGAGTTTAAAGTCCTTTCCTTGTAGCTTACCTTGTTTTTTTCTTAAACCCTCACGGCAATGTCACACTGAGGTTTCTCTCCCTGTGCAAGCACCACTGTATTGAAACATACTTCTCACCAAATTTTGGCTGAAGGGAAAATTATTTCTAAGTTATTTTTTTCTTTAGCCAAAAACTATACAGTAATTAAAATATCATTTGTAAACAGGAACGAGAAATAATTTCTAGCTTGTGGGCGATCACTTTATTCTTTCATGACTTACATATTTATGTGTTTGGGTAAAACCTATGAATACTAACTGGCTTTTTATTCCAGTAAATGAGACTGGTTGGGAGTGAAGTGGAGAAGGAAAGCGTGGGGCACATAATTGAAGCATAAGATGTAATGGGTGGATATGAGATCTCTGTCTGCCAGTGAATCATTTCGTGACTTTAACTAAGTACCACACTTCGTGCTCTGAATCTCCACCTGGAAGATTATGATAATATGACTGTCTGACAAGTACAGAATGCAAGTCTATTTTTTTTAAGGGAGAACATTAAAGAGATTGTTGGATTTTGGATCCAAACAGGCTGACATTCAGAAAAGTAGTCTGGGAAATCCTTGTTAAGCCTGAAACATTTTATCCTTGGTTAATAGAGTTTGTAATATTTTTTATGACTTTTTAAAATTTTTATTTATCTTTAGAGGGGAAGAGAAGAAGAGAGGGAGAGAAATATTAATGTATGGTTGCCTCTCATGCGAGCGTCCCCCACTGGAAACTGGCCTGCAACCTAGGCATGTGCCCTGACTGGGAATTGAACCATGGTTGTTTGGTTCGCAGGCCCACGCTCAATCCACTGAGCTACACCAGCCAGGGCAGAGTTTGTAATATTTGAAAAAACTTCTTTTAAATATAGAGTTTCACCAAACTGGTAGTACTCAGACACTGTTTAGCCAAAGAGACAGATGAATGAGCAATTTACAAAAGATGAAAAACATCTGGCCAAGAAGCATCCAAAACAATTTTCATCCTCACTAATAATATAAAAATTGCAAACTAAACAACGAGGTGACTTTTTTTTTCACTTTTCACATTGGAAAAAAAGTTAAAGTGTAATTACACGTGTCCAGCTTTGGTGACAGTGTGGGAAAAGGCACTCCTGGTGAGAGTCAGCACAGGACTTTCTCCTTCTCTTTTCCTTCACTGGTGCCAACAGGGTGAAGAGCATTCCAGTTTGGGAGCTGACACCCATAGCAGTCACTACCACCCAGCCAGAACCTTCCATGACATGGGTCTCTGTATGAAAAAAGAGAAAATAGGAGGAGCGTTGTTTTTTATACCCAGCCGTATGTTGACATGAAATGCAAACTTAGAAAAAAAAAGCCAATCTGGCTTCCTTGCTCCCCATGAATAGCAATATACTTAACAGACAGTAGGAAAAGGCTAAGAGTTGGACCTATTTAAAACAGACCAAGAAAATTGAGGGATAAGGAGAAAAATGTGTTTAACTGCTTTAGGGCAAGGCTCCTTCCCCCCACAATTCACACTCAACCAGCAGAGCCCCTCCAAGGCCCCTCCAAGCCCTCGCTTCATCGATAACCTCTTTTAAGTTACCGATGTCCTTCCTGTATTCAACTTACCAATATGCTATGGTCCCAGTTGGAATCTGGAAGGAAATGGGATAGGGCCACAAGAGAGAGAGGGTCTAGATCAGGTCTCTGTGGCTTGGCTTACTGAGGGGAGGCAAACTGGAAACTGGGGTGACCACAGGCCATACAGAGAGCAACACGGGATCTCGTTCCATGCTCTTCTTGACATGATTCAATCCCCCAGATAAACAGCTTTCATCAATATCGCGATCATTCTCCTGGATCAGTATTCCACCTGCAGGCAGCAGATCACCTAGTGCACAGAGAGGGAGGGGCTATATGGGAAAGAGGAAGGTAAGAGCCTGGTGGAGGGGAGGGACCATCCAACCCATGTTAGAGCTGCCTCCGTGGCTCGACCTATAGGGCACTGGCCCAGGGAGTACCCGGAGAGCCTTTGAAAGACAACTCAGGCTTTGACACCTGGGACAAAACTCCTTTCCAGGTATCATAAATTCAAATAATTAATGATCCTCAAATTCCTTCCCATAGCCTGAACATTATGCATACTTTTAACAGGGTACAAGGCTGACAATCTTTTGAGAGAGTTTCAGTTACTTCTTTGAATTTCCTTCCCATGACTTCCTTAAATGCTAATCTAGAAGCTAACACAATCTAGGGTCATATCTAGAAGTTTTATTTGGTTCTTTTTATATTTTCCATTTCTTTCATTATATATATGTTTCCTTTAAATCTTGACTATATATATAGTTGCTATTTTAAAGTCTTCATCTGCTAATTTCATCATCTATGTCATTTCTGAGTCTGTTCCTATTGACTGATTTTTCTCCTGTCTATGATTTACATTTTCCTGCTTCTTTACATATAGGGTGGGGCAAAAGTAGGTTTATAGTTGTTCATAGGGAAAATAATAGAATCATTAATAAATAAAAGTACAAGAATAAACTCTGGGTTTCATGTACTTATAACTATAAACCTACCTTTGTCCCTGTATAATAATTTTTTATTGAAAACTGGACATTGTGAGCATTACATAGTTTAGTACCTGGATTTTGTTGAATTTCTTTAAATATTATTAAGTTTCATTCAAGCAAGCAGTTAATTTACTTGCAGAAAAGCTTTTTCAGCTTTGTTTGGGTGGGGCTAGAATAGCCTTCACTCTTAGGCTACTTTAGCCTTATCTCTGTAACCTGAAAAATTTGAAAAGATATATTTGCAAAGACATATGCATCCTTGGGTTCATTGCAGCATTATTCACTGTGGCCAAGACAAGGAAACAGCGAAAGTGCCCTTTGTTAGATGATTGATAAAGAAGATGCGGTGCATATATACAGTGCAATACTACTCAGCCGTAAGACCAGTTGAAATACAGCCGTTTGTAACAACGTGGATTGATTGGGAGAATATGATGCTAAATAAGTCAGGCAGAAAAAGTTAAGAACCATATGATTTAACTTATATGTGGGATATAAAACTGGAAGCAACAAATGAACAAACAAGAAATACAAACAGAAACTCACAGGCACAGACAACAGTGTGGTGGTTACCAGACAAAGGAAGGTGGGGGTAAAGAGGGTCAAATATTTGGTGATGGAAGAAGATTTGACTCTGGGGGTGGGTACACAATCTGATACATATAGATGATGTATTATAGTCTTGTACGTTTGAAACCTATATAACCTTATTGAGCAATGTCACCTCCAATAAATTTAACTAAAAAATAATATAAGCGGCCCTGGCTGGTGTAGCTCAGTGGACTGAGTGTGGGCCTGCGAACCACATGATCGTGGTCCCAGTCCCAGTCAGGGCGCATGCCTGGATTGCAGGCCAGTTCCCAGCAGGGGACTCAAGAGAGGCAACCATACATTGATGTTTTTCTCCTTCTTTCCTTCCCTTCCCCTCTAAAGATAAATAAATAAAATCTTTAAAAAATAGTAAGTGGAGCTACTTTAAAAGGGAGTCAGAGCTATCATCCAGAGGAACTGCCTTGCACATTTTATGCCTCAAACCTTTGGAATGCTGTCGAAACAGGGCAAAACAACCTTTGGCCTGTGAGGAAGGCAGCATCATCCCTAGGAACTGTTTGCTACGATAACAAGAAAGCTGATATTATGACAAGGCTAAAAAATTAACTACTTTAGCTTATTGGCACCAATAGAAACGCCTTCTTCCTATTGAGCTACCCGTGATTGCTCTCCTTTGTCATAAATACCTCTTTGCCTTCTAATTGGAAAGCTATTTGGGTTTCTGCCAGAATCAGCGCTTTCCGATTTTTTTTTTAGATCTCAAATAAATGCTTGTGGCCTCTCAGTTCGGCTTTTTATTTTTAAAATAACATCTCTCATGCGTGGCCTTTCTGAAATCTGCCTACAAAATGCTCCAGGTGTTTAATAAGGTTTCTCTATTCCAGTTGGTCGAAAACTGAATGTTTCCTGACTCTGACAAGCTCTAGTAGTTGCTCAGCTATAATTCCCCAGTAGTTTTTAATAGTCTTGCGAAGTCTATTCCTTAAACCTAAACCAAATATTCAAGGAGACTCTTCACTTCTTTTTTAAAGATTTTATTTATTTAGTTTTCGAGAGAGGAGACGGGCGGGAGAAAGAGAGGGAGAGAAAGAGCACGTGAGAGAAAAACATCAGTCGGCTGCCTCTCGCAGGCTGCACGCAGAAGGCTCGTCTTAGTCAAGAGAGACTGCACAGTCCGTCAACACGGGTCTGGCCGCCTCTTGGCCGAGGTGCGTGAAAAACTGCCAATTGCTGCTGGAGTGGGCGGGCCTACCTCGCCGGGTGGGACGGGACTGTTTGTCCTCCCCATGGAACCCGATTGGCCAGGGCTGGCTCAGAGAATGGGGGCGGGGCTTGATCCTGGGCTGCAGCCACGTGGGACGTTGGGTTGGTCCCACAATGCACTGCGCATTACGTGACTCGGAGCGGCGGGTCCCGGCTCCACAGGTACGGACCAGCCCCTCCCAGTCCTCGTTTCTTCCCTCTTGGGGTCGCTCGAACCCCGGGCTGGTGGCTAAGCTCACCCGGCCTCCCGCTACCGCCCTGGTCCCTAGCCCTCGCATCTGCAGACCTATTCCAGGACAGGAGCCAAGCCCGAACCGTGGGGGCGGGAGCGGGGTGTTGATGGAACCACGGAGCTCGGGCGGAGCGGGATTGCGAGGACTTTGTCGCCTTCCACTTGCGGGGTCTATGGGGCCGCGCGGGCGGCAGTTGCCCCTTGGCTGGCCTTCCTTGTGTATGGGGCAGCCGGGGCAGGCAGACCGACTGGGAGGGACGATCTCTCTGGGCAGTGAGCAGCGGAGAGCGTTCCCTGGCGCCCAGGAGTCAGAAACTCTTGTGGTTCGCCTAGGCTGCTTAGGTGCCCCGGAGAGCTTGACGTCACATTTTCTGTATCTTTTAGCGGGGTGGAATTTGAACTCGTGGCGAACTTGGCGTTTTGTGGGGATTGAATAAGCCTTGAGCTCAGAGAGTTGCCCTCGTTGGCTCTCGGAAACCTCATCAGGCCCTGTTAATGGCACTTGGGGAATGAGATGGCAGAGAGACCTCATCAGTTGGCTTGACAGATGGAAGAGGTCTTCAAAATAGGAGGCCAAGCCCCAGCTGGCTTGACCCTCTCTGTCAGTGAAAGCAGCTTTGGGATTTTGGGGTGCTCCACGGCTTCCTGGGTCATCTATCTGGGTAGTTGGCTGGCTTGAGAACCAGTCCTCCTCATGTTCTGCCAAGGCAAAACCCAGGGCTAAATGTCAGCCGTTAGACCCGAGATACTGGGATCCTAGGTGGCAGCTGGAACAGCCACTTCTAAAACTTCCTGAATCACATTCCACCTTACTGGTATTTGCTCACATGCTGAGATTATAAGGAATTAAGCAGTAGGTACTTAAATAGTACCACAATTTCAGGTATATGAAGGTTGTAGTTCAGTGATTGGATTTGACATCCGTGACCGTACCCTAAGTTATAACGGGACATCTGGGCATTTCCTATGTTGAGAACCCATGATCTCAGTTTTCTGCTTCTTTTGGTGTATAACTGATTTTTAAAAATCTAGGTATATTTTTTATTGGTGTATAAAAGAAGCCGAGCTTTTATGAAAGGGCAGGGGGCGTGGGGAGGTGTACCTGCGACCTTGCTCACTCACCATGTAGTTGAATAAGAAGCTTGGTTATGGTGAGAGGTGATACCTCAGAGGGTGGTTAAAGGTAGGCCTGAGTTTAAATCTGTCACTTGCCAATTTAGGGGTTGAATACATTAATTAACTTTTTGAGTTTGAAATTCCTCAAAGTAAAACGGCATGGATAATATCTGTCTCACAGGTTATTGGGAGGCTTACATGAGGTAATTAGTGTATGTAATGTGTCTGGTAAATAGAGGGCAGTTAATAAATAATACTTGCAAACAATATTGTACTTTAGACTGGAAGGCAGTGCGTCAGGTCCTTTACATGTTCCTGTAAGATAGATATTATCTGTATCTTTAAAATTACTCTATGAGATACATAGAGTAGCCACAGTGTACAGGTGAGGAAATTGAGTATAGAAAGGCCCAGTTAGTACATGGTGGAGCCATATTTTGAGCCCAGGCAATCTGTTAACTACTATATTGTCTCTCAAAGAAAATGTAAGCTGTTTTTTTATTATTATTTCAAAATTAGTAGCTAGATATTTTCTCTATCTCTAGGTTCTTTTGTTGGTTTTAGGAGAGTGGTGTAGCACAGTAACGTGGAAATAGAAGAAACTTGGGCTCAAGCACCAGTTCTGTCATATAATATAGCATTGCGACACTGAGAAAGGGAGCCTTCATTTCCTCATCTGCAAAATGGTTATAACTACCCAGTATTTGTAAAATATGAGGTGCTGCACAAATGCTGGGACTGACACACTTATGCATGTGTCGGGGTCCCTGTTCCTAGATGTGAGAAAATGTATTCTAGAGCCTGAGGTCTTACATCCTACTCAGTGCAAGCACCTATAATAGCAGGGTCAAAAGCTGCTGGAGAGGTTGCATGTGTTGGGTGCGGGGTGGTGGCAAACTGTAAAATACATTCTGCTTATCCTTGGTACCCTTTCTGCTTTTGTTCTTCCAGCTGTTTCCCCAGTGCTTTCTTCCTAACCTATGGCTATGTAAAGAACTCCCCTTTTCACTCAGTCTTGCCCCCACCCTGTGCCATGACAGTACAGCTTTCTCCCCAAGTACACCCTTCCCCATTCTCACAGATCACGGTTAGCACTGATAAAATAGTATGCACCAAGGTAGTGTTTACCAAATTTTGGTACCATCAGATAATTTTATTAACTTTGGAGAAAAATATAGATACTATCTCTAAGGGTAGGGCAAAAAATAAGCTAATCAGAAAACATATTAGGTAGATAATAATACAGGTGGATTGCAGATGTGGTAAGAATTCTGAAAGTGGTGCTTGGATGACTGAAGTTTGGAAAATAATGAACTAAAACAAAATATGAGCGATTAACCCAACACGAATGTTTTTTATTTTAAAAAAGACATTTATGAAAATGTGTTGCTAGAAAATAGATGGAAAGCGTACTTATCCATTGAGTATTGTTTATTACTTTTTGAGAGATCGCCTTGCTGTTACCTTGGGCCCACAGTCACTGCTCCACAAGGTTCTTTTCTCAGTACGTTTTAGGAAATATAAATCTTTCTGTCTTTCAAGTCATGAAGAAAAGAGTAGCTTTGAAGAGTACATGGAAATTGGCACCCTCTAATAAAGATAATTTCTGATATTTCTGTTGGGATCCTAGAAAGATTAGGCAGTTTACTTTTAAATACTAAGTATATGGATGTTTGGAAACTATAGGCCACAAACCTTCCCTCATTTTAATTCACAGAGTAGACCTTGTATTGCAGTATATTTCTGTAAAGACACAGTTTTATATTTAAATAATCAATACATAAAGTATGAAGTAAGATATTTTTCCATTTAGGCTAAATGTTGTAGCTGTGGTTTAATAATTAAATAAAACATGGCAACAGTTTTAAAAAGAGGATTATAATGTAGCTTTTATCCCTTGAGGATTTCCAGCTTTCTCTTGCTGGCACTTTTAGAAGAGGAAAGAAACTGATTGAATAGGGGAAAGTGATTTGCATATGTCATGTTGGAACTTTAGTCAAAGAATCCGTTATGGTAAAGGCTAATTCGATTCCTCCTGAGGTTTTTTCCTTTTAAGTAAATAGAGGACAAAAATATTAAAGGCTATAAATATATTAATACCTAACTATTCCTATCATTTCCTCATGAAAACAGGAAAAGGGGGGAGTAAATTGAATGCATTAGCATTATTTTTTTTTTTTAAAGATTTTATTTATTTGTTTTTAGAGAGATGGGGAAGGGAGGGAGACAGAGAGGGAGTGAGACATAAATGTGTGGTTGCCTCTAGCACATCCCATACTGGGGATATGGTCTGCAACCCAGGCATGTGCTCTGACTGGGAATTGAACCAGCACCCCTTTGGTTCGCAGGCCTGCGCTCAATCCACTGAGCCACACCAGCCAGGGCTCGTTAGCATTATTACTTGGATTAATTTTTATTGTCAGTTTCCATCATGAATGGACAGTCCGATTTTGGCTTCACATGGCAGTGAAAGCTAGGTACCAAACTAGTTACCACTGATTTCCAAACTAGGTACCGGTTTTCTATGGCATTTTTTGATATATTACTAACTCAAATTTTCATTTTTGGAAGAAAAATTGACATAGCTTAACTGAGCAGATAAGGATTAATTTAGTCTCTGAGATATAATATCATGAAAAAGCATATGAAATTGTTTTCAGGTTTTTCTGTTTGTACCAATTACTAGTGAAAGAGAAGTATTTAGGGCCTTGTGTTCTGATGGCCTGACAGAAAATAGTTACCACTTAATGTTATTCTGTGAACATGTTTTAATTCAGTATTTTCCAAAGTATAATGTTTAGATAGTAGCATAGGAATTATCTGGGGAATTTGCTAAAAATGAAAGATTCTCAAGTCCCATTCTATTGTCAGTTGATCAGAATTTTTTGGAGGTTGGCCCAGAAATCAACATTCCTAACCAAACTTCCAGTGATTTCTATATAAGCTAAAATTTGAAAACTAATATATGTATATATATATATATATATATATATGTATTTTTAAAAAATATTTTATTTATTTATTTTTTGAGAGAGGGGAAGGGAAGGAGAAAGAGTGGGAGAGAAACATCAATGTATGGCTGCCTCTCATTTGTCCCCTGCTGGGAACCGGCCCGCAACCCAGGCATGTGCCTTGACTGGTAATCAAACCACGATACTCTGGTTCGCAGGCCCACACTCAATCCACTGAGCTATGCCAGCCAGGGCTATATGTATATATTTTTAATCAAAGTTAGACTGTTTACTTGATTTCTTTCAGACCCAGGCCAGTGTAGTCCTTTGATCTATTTTTGTAAAGCATGATCAGAAGCGAATGGGAGAGGCCATTTTGATTTACTTTCTGGTGAAATAATTGAGGATGGTAGTAAAACCAGTGATTCCTTTAGCTTTCAGATTTATTTCTTTATTTGTTTATTTTTCAGTTTATGCTTTTAATTTTTTTAATATTATTTACACTATTACAGTTGTCCTGATTTTTTACCCTTTGCCGCCCTCCACCCAGCCAACCCCCACTCCCACAGTCAGTCCCCAGACCATCCATTATCCATGTACATGGGTCATCCATATATATTCTTTGACTAATCCCTTTACCTCCTTTCCCCACTCTTGCAGCTGTCAGTCTGCCCCTGATTCTCTTTTGTTCATCAGTTTATTTTGTCATTAGATTCCACTTATAGGTTAGATTGTATGGTATTGTCTTTCACTGACTGGCTTATTTCAGTAAGCATAATAGTCTCTCCAGTTCCATCCAAACTGTTGCAAAAGGTAATAATTCCTTTTTCACTGCTGTGTAGTATTCCATTGTATAAATGTACCACAGTTTTTTAATTCACTCATTTACTGATGGGCACTAGGCTGTTTCCAAATCTTGGCTATTATAAATAATGCTACTATGAACATAGGTTTTCATATATTCTTTTGAATTGGTATTTTGAGATTCTTAGGGTATATTCCCAGCTGTAGAATCACTGGATCAAAAGGCAGTTTCATTTCTAATGTTTTGAGGAAATTCCATACTCTGTGTGCTTCCTGAACTTGCCTGACTTTCTCCTTCATTAGGTTAGGTGAGTTTTCTGTCATTATTACTTCAAACTGGTTTTCTATCCCTTGCTCACTTTCTTCTTCTGGTATCCTAATGATACAGATATCATTAAGTTTAATGTTGTCCCTGAGCTCTATTATTTTTTAAATTATATTTTACTGATTGTATTATTACAGTTGTCCCAATTTTTCCTTATGCCCTATTCCACCCAGCACCCCCCATACTCCCTCAGGCAATTCCCACACCATCATTCATGTCCATGGGTCATGAGTATAAGTTCTTTGGCAGCTCTATTTCCTATACTGTACTTTACATCCCCATGGCTATTCTGTAACTACCTATTTGAACTTCTTAATCCCCTCACCTCTTCACCCATTGCCCCACACATGCTTCCCATCTGGTAACCGTCAAAACACTCTCTATATCCATGATTCTGTCTCTGTTCTTGTTTGCTTAGTTTGTTTTTTAGAGTCAATTATTGATATATACATATATGTGTGTGTGTATATCTATATCTATCTATCTATATATATATATATATAGTTCATAGTGTTGATTTTCTTAAATAAGTCCCTTTAACATTTCATATAAGAAAGGTTTGGTGATGATGATGAACTCCTTTAGTTTTTTCTTGTCTGGGAAGCACTTTATCTGCCCTTTCATTCTAAATGATAGCTTTGTTGGCTAGAGTGATCTTGGATGTAGGTCCTTGCTTTTCATGACTTTGAATATTTCTTGCCAATCCCTTCTAGCCTGCAAAGTTTCTTTTGAGAAATCAGCTGATAGTCTTATGGGAACTTTTTTGTAGGTACCTCACTGCTCTTCTCTTGCAGCTTTTAAGATTCTCTGTCTTTAACCTTTGGCATTTTTAAAATGATGTGCCTTAGAGTGGCCCTCTTTGCATCCACATTGTCTGGGACTTTCTCTTCTTCCTGGACTATCATGTCTATTTCCTTCACCAAATTAGGGGAGTTTTCTTTCATTATTTTTTCAAATAGATGTCCAATTTCTTGCTCTTTCTGTCCTCCTCCTGGCACCTCTATGATGTGAATGCTGGAATGCTTGAAGTTGTCCCAGAGGCTGCTTACACTGTCCTTGTTTGGGGGGGTTCTTTTTTCTTTCTTGTTTTTCTGACTTCTTATTTTTGTTTCCTTATGTTCCAAATCATCAGTTTGAATATTGGCTTCATCCACTCTACTGTTGTTTCCCTGTGAATTGTTCTTTCTTTCAATTAGTGTACCTTCATTTCTGACTGGATCGTTTTTATGCTGTTGAGGTCCTCACTAAGTTTTTCAAGCATCCTTATAACCAGTGTTTTGAACTCTCCATCTGATAGATTGCTTATTTCTTTTTGTATGGTACTTTTTGGGGTGTGTTTATCTGTTCTCTCACTTGGACCATGTTTCTGTCTCATTTTGGCAGCCTCCCTGTGGTGGTTTCTATGCAGTAGGTAGAGCTGCTGGGACTCCCCATCTTCTTGGGGTGGCCTTCTGTGTTAACAGTCCTGTGGGACCCAGGGGTGCAGCCCCATTGATATCCTGAGCTAGATGCTCTAGAGTTGCCCCTTGTGTAGGTTAAGGGGTTTCTCCTGTTGTATTTGGGCCTTAGTTGTTGTTGGCTTGTTCATTGGTGGGATTTTCTCTCTAGCTGGATAACTGAGAGGCTCAACCTCCACCACGTTTTGTATGCTGCGTACTGTGGCTGACAGAAGAAAACAAAACAACACAAAAAACCAAAAACAAAACAAGCCAAAAAATCTCAACAGCAGCACAATGTTAAAAGAGCAAAGAGTAATAAAAGTGGAAAGAGAAATAGAATAGTAAAAGAAAAAAAAATAAGAGCAGACCATAGGAAAGAAAAGTGATTATGAGAGAAGGAAAATAAATAATAATAAGGAACAGAAAGAGGAAAATGGGGAAAAGGACAAAGAGAAAGCATAACAAAAATACAAAAAGTAAAGAAGAAAAATGCAGTAAGAAAAGGTAAGAGTAAATAAGAGATGTACAAGATAACGGAGAACCAAAAATAGGAGAAGATAATGAAAAGGCTATAAAAAGAAAAAATAATGAAAATAATGGAAAAGAACAACATAGAATTTGTCTCGGCTGAGTTTAGTGCCTGCCTGCTTAGTTTTCCCTTTGGATACAGCCCTGATGTCTGAAGCTGGCGTAAGCTGATGTCAGGTGCTGTCCATGTCTAGACCCTACAGCCTGTTTGAAGCTACCAGTAGTCCGCAGTTTGTGGCTGTTTCCTTGGGGTTTGGTGGTGCATTGGATGGGCCAGCACTGGACCCAAGGCTGGGTGAGCAGATGTCCCAGTGCCCCACAGGATCTGCCTCCACCTGCCTGCTTCTGCTTGTTGGCTTTCTGTCAATCTTAGATCGGTCGCTGACCAGACTGTTTCTGAGAGGGCTTCTGGCAGAACCAGAGTGATGGGACTGCTAGATTTTCCATGGGAGGTGCTGTTCAGACTTCCGGGGGAAGATGATGTGTGTGTTCCCCGAACCCTGAGTCAGAGGCCTTAATCTGTTCCAGATTATCTACCTGAGGTCAGCAGGGCAGAGCCTCCAGTAGGCAAGCAGGTGGTGCTTCCAGAGCTTAGAGTTTAGTTCTGCCAGAAAACAGGAGGGTGTTTCTGTGGCTCACCCATGAGGGGGAAGTGCGAGTTTGGCTCCTGGCAAAGTGTATGGAATGGCTGTACCCTAAAGCCAGTCTCTGATACCTCTTGAGTCTGCATATGTTGCTGTCTCCTTAGCAAGGCTTAGGATGCACGAATGGGGAAGAAATAGACACACATAAAAGATACAGGTGGGGTTGGGCAGGATTCCAGATAGTGGGGTAGGCAGTATCCAATAGTGTAGGGTAATTGTATTTCCCCTGGGAGTGCCTTGCTCTTAAGAAAGATGGCTGCTGTGGTATTGAAGTGTGACCCAGCATAAAAATCTCTGCAGCCTCTCCCCATGGCTCTCTTCAATGCTACCGCTCCAGTCTGTGCTGCCCTCCCTTCACTGGAGCCCAGGCTGAGTTGCTGCAAATAAAAAAACCCTGTGCTTTTCCCCTTTTTAAGAAAAAAAAAATAGTGGCTTTGTCTCCAGAGGGCGTTGTTTCTCCCCAGCAGACAAGTCCCAGTGGCCTTCCCTGGCTGGATGGTAAGTGGGCGGCTGCTCTTGGCACTGGCGCCCGTGTGCTTGAGAGTCGGATCTGGGGTCCAGGCTGCATCCTCTCAGGGAAGTTCCCACAGCCTTGCCACACCCTCAGAACTCTGCAGTTCGGGCCCAGCCCCTCTCGCGTCCCCTTGCGTCCCCACCCTTCCTTGCCATCTTGTCTCCAGGTGGTTTCTGCCCATCCTTGGCCAAGTTGCTTTTTCAGGTAGTCTTCAGTTGTTTTTATCAGTTGGCTGTTCCCTTCTTTATTTTTATTTCTGGTTTGGTTCTGGGAGGAAGTGTAAGAAAGATTCTCCCACAACTGCTGCTCTGCTGCCAGCCCAGATTTATTTTAAATAATATTTTTTCTGGTTATAAAAGTAAGATGCTCTCATTGTGAAATGTTATGAAAATTTAGGAAATTGTAAAATGATAATCATCCATAGTACTATTTCCTGGAGATAAGCATTATTCTAATTTTGCTATGTTTCCGTCCTATATCTTTTTCTCCACTTACCCTTTTCTTCTTCCTTTTCTTTGTCTTTATGAAAAACAACATTTGGAGTTTTTATCCTGCCTTTTTTTTTACTGCCCAACAGATAAGCATTTTACCACATTATTAAACTATTTTTCACAAACATAACTTTTAGTTTCTGTACTATATTTAGTTATATGAGTGTCATATAATTTATTTAACTCTTTCCCTGTTATTGGATATTTAGCTTTTCGGTTATTTCTGTGAAAGGATGTCTTTCTGTTTAAAATTTTGTCTTTACCTAGGATAAGATTTATAATATTAAAATTTTTCATGCTCAAAGAGCATAAACATTAAATTCTGCTGAATATTCTTCAATTGTTTTGAGAATGGTGTTTATTTCAGTATTTACTTTCACATATATTTATGAAAATGCTAGAAAGAAGCAAGTACTATTTTTTATAAAAGCTAATTTGTTAAGGAAATCAAACAAATCATTTTTATAGTCATCATTTTAATTAGTATACCGTTGATTATTAATGAGTTGAACATTTTTGCACTCTTTTTCAGCTTCGGCTTTCATTTTTTTACCTAACCCAAGATTCTCACTTTGTTTCAGGTCTTCCGTGTCGGTTGAGATGTCTATGATTTTGTCTGCCTCAGTCATTCGTGTCAGAGATGGACTGCCGCTTTCTGCTTCCACTGACAACGAGCAAGGCACCGGCGTGCAGGAGTGCAGAAAGTTCTTTAAAATGCTCTCCAGGAAGCTTGCTCAGTTTCCTGATAGATGTACCCTGAAAAGTGGACATTACAACATTAAGTAAGCCTTTAGTTTGCTTTATGAAAACCACTTGCTTAGTGGTAGTCATTCTAATGAAATGTAAGTGGTTACAGTAGAAATTAGTGTTTGGTTAGTTTAGGAATATGTGTAAGTCAAGATTCATGTGATTCTGAACTTATACTAGATGGTAGTCATCATTTCGTCCCCCTTTTTGTATCTGGCTTTAGAAAAATTTACTGTTTTGAGGATCTGAGATATGCCATCTTTTTTTAAAAGATTTTATTTTTTTTGTTTTTAAAGAGAGGGAAAGGGAGGGAGAAAGAGAAGGAGAGAAACATCTGTGTGAAAGAGAAATATCAATAAGTTGCCTCTTGCATTGATACTCCCCAACCGGGGACCTGGCCTCCCCCCGAGTCATGTGCCCTGGTGAGAATTGAACCTGCGACCTTGATCCGTACTGAAGGCTGTATGCACTGGCTGTTCCATCTGCCTTGCTCTTCACCCATAGCATCCTAATTTATATCACTGCCTTCTTTCTCATCGTTTAGGTCTCTGCTCTCAGAGAGACCTTTGACCACCATAAAGTCACTCTCTATCCTGTTGCCCAGTTTCACTTTCTTTATATATAATAAATAGTGATGAATGCTATCCTCTCTCCCCAGAATGTAAACTTAAATTTTCTGAAGGCAGGTATAATGTAAGATTTTTTATATTTCCCATTAGAGTTTGCCTGGTCATGTAAGAACACCGTAAATACCTAGTGATCAACTTGTAAGATGACATATCTGAGTCCTGACGGGCAAGGCTCAGTTGGTGGAGTGTGTCCCACAAAACAAAAGGTCATTTTGATGTAATAGGTTGTAGGAAGCTGTTACTGCAGGTTTGAGGAAAGTGACTTGATTAAAAAACAAAAAAACAATGCTGAGACAGTGGGGTGCAGGTTGAAACGGAAAATCTGAGAGAAGAGCAGTTACCTGAGAATTAGGGTCTGAACTAGTACAAGTGCAAAAAAAAATGCCAACCATAGAGACACATCGGAGGAGGAAATGGTTAAACCTGATACAAAGGAATACCAGAGATGAGGAAGAGGAAGGAACACAGACTACTGAAACCTTGGAATTGGACAGAACGAGGTTTTTGGAAAGGGTTGCTTGTACCAGGGGGCAGGGGTGAGGACGGAGGGCAAGCTGACAAAGCTCCATTTTGAGCATTTGATTAAGGATGTGTATGGTGAGGCAGTCCGGTGAGGTGAGACAGATTTCAGAGTCATTCATACAGAAGTTGAAACAGAGTAGAAATGCCCACTGCACTTCTGAGAGGCCCAGAACAGAACCCTGGAGAATGTTCATAATTGCTTGGATCACCTGAATAATGGTAAGATAACGGGCTGTTACTTTTAGCTGGGTTTTCTGAGAGTTGAACTACAAAATGGTGGTAGTAATGGTGAGTATATCTGAAATGATGTCTTAGCCTACTCCTATTTTTTTGGAGGAATAAACTTGAAGTATTTTAATATTTTATTTAAAAGTCAGAGGCTCTTTTAGTTTTATAGGTCATTCTGAGTTTTAGTTATTGTATAATGCTATAGACAGATATCAACATTATAGAAGATTGGCTTGTATGTGGTGTATTAATTTTGGCAGATATCGTGGACTTAAAAAAACACACCCACAGAATTTTGTTTTTGCAGATGTTTTGTTTCTCTACCATATTCTCCTAAAAGTAGAGTAGAATGTAGCACCATTTTAACACACTTCTAATTCTGTTTAACTGTTGTGAATTTCATTTACAAAAATAAAATAATTCAAGTGTACAGGTAAAAGAATCATGTGAAGGACAAAAATAAAGGTAGGAGAATAGTACACTGAAGTCACATTTTTGTTTGGAGATACAAACATCTCCATTGGGAGATATAAAAATTTATTTTTTATTTCTAGTCCATTCATTTATTAGAAAGGGTTGTAAAAAATTGCTTTGAGCCCTGGCTGGTGTGGCTCAGTGGATTGAGTGTGGGCCTGCAAACCAAGGGGTTGCTGGTTCACTTCCCAGTCAGGGCACATGCCTGGGTTGTGGGCCATGTCCCCCAATGGGGGTGCCCAGGAGGTAACCACACATTGATGTTTCTCTCCCTGTCTTTCTCTCTTCCTTTCTCTCTCTCTTATTAAGGATAAATAAATAAATAATTTTTAAAAGTTGCTTTAAGCTACCTTATAGCCAGAACAAAGGGCGATAATGGATCATTTACAGGATTCATAGTGTACATTGGATCGAAACACTGCCTTTCATCTTCCTTAGATCTGATGTGCAGGCATTTGGCAGGCATCCTTTTGGCAGCCATAACAATGGGCTTTTTATGATTTTTCTTATGATATTTTTTAGTGTAAGCAAGTTGGCATGATGAAAAAAGTAATTTTGTTAGAAAGTTTAAGAGTGGGATGAAACATCAGAGGTCTAATCTGGCCTGATCTAAGAAAACAATTTAGAAATGTATTAAGGAATAAGCAGGTTCCATGGCTGTCAAAACCATGTGTAGAAAAGCCTCTTTTTGTGTGATTTTTGTAGCCAAGTTTGAAAAGAGGATTTCACAACAGAGAATTTTTAGTTCTACTTTCTGACAGAAGCCTAGATTTTATATATTTTCTATCATTGATGAGAGGTTTTGTTTGGTTTCTAGTTTATTGAGGTTTTGAATGGTATATGACAAATTTCGACTGAATATATAAAATTGGGAACTTACGTATGTTACTTGACTTATTTAAAACTTGCATGTGACACCTCTTGTTTGAACCGGCGTGAATTTGCCAGATAAAACTCACAGTAGTAGTAGCAACTTTGCAGCACGGCCCGAAACTGGCATGGGCTGCGGTGTGCTCTCCCGGCTGCACTGCGCTCTCCCGGCTGCACTGCGCTCTCCGGGCTGCACTGCGCTCTCCCGGCTGCACTGCGCTCTCCCGGCTGCACTGCGCTCTCCCGGCTGCACTGCGCTCTCCGGGCTGCACTGTGCTCTCTGCTCCCGTTTCTGACTGGTTGCCTTTCCTTCAGAGCCTGGTTTAGAGCCTTCCTCGTTTGAATCACCTTTTTCATCATTACTATTTCTTTCACCATCTCACTTCTTTCACAGATTGCCTGTGGAGCGTGTTTGACTGACTTTTTCATCACTTTTTCCTAATTTTTATTTTTTTTATTTCTAAAGCGTTTCTTTATGCATTGTAACTCAGTAAGATGATTGATCTGCCTTGGCTTATATTATTTTTATTTCTTTTTTAGCATTGTGGTTTCCAAAGTTGTATAGAAATTGAGTTGCTTTTCATAGACTTCTACTAAGAACCAAAACAAAATAGCCAACTAGATGACATGTAATTATGTATTCAATCACATTAGATTCTGGTTGACTGGCTAGAGGAAGACCATAGTTTTGAGGAAAAAATTAGAAGAGTAACATTTAAAACGGAGAAAATTTCTTTAATTTTCTCTCCCTGTGTATTGGGAAAATGGTGAACTTTATCAGATTGTAGTGATGGGGGATCCAAGATGGTGGCAGAGTAGGTGGAAGCTATGCTAACCTCCTCCCAGAACAAAACTGGAATTACCACTAAATGATAGAAAAACCATCCTGAATAACCACCTGAGCATTGGCTGGCGAGAAGCTTTATAACCAAGTATTTAGGAAAGAAACCACATCACCACATGGAGACTGGTAGGGAGTACAGAGGTGCAAGAGGGCTGGCAGGGCTCTCACAGGCGGCAGCCGAAGTTTGGAGGGATACTTTAGCAGCTGGAGGGGTTCCACCTGAGAAGTGTGGAGTCGAAACCCCAAGTTGAGTTCCCCAGCCGGGAGCACCAGAACTGGGAAAGGAACCCAAATAACATCCAACTGTAAAAAGCAGTGGGGTTTCTGCCCTCCAGGGAGGGACAGCTGGAGATGTTGAGGGTCTCTGAAAGGCCTAACACACAAAATTTGTTTCCAGCCACTGACCCTGGGCCTAGCAGATGGAGGGCAGAGCAGACTAGAGCCACATGAGGAGAGTCTAGGCTTGGTGGCTCTGCAAAGAGCCGAAGGGCCAGCCACCAGGATTCCGGTTCTAAGTCCTTCCTAGTACTGCAGAAGCCATGTTTCTCAGGCAGAGCGCTCCTTTCCATGCGGCAGCCGGGGGGGAGCAGTGGCCCCGCCAGCAGGAATCTTTCTTGCCTCACTCGCTGCCGAGGAGTACAGCTGGAAGCACTTTCATTGATTAAACCTAACAGAAACTCTGCAAGATAGAAGCAGGTATCTGGGCGCTTTCAGATGTTAGCTCACCCTGCCCAGGGCTGGTGCTATTAAAAGTCAGCCTTGATAAAAGTCAACCTTGGTATGCAGCCTGGTTCTTTCTGCACACACCCAGGTCCAGCAGAGGGAGCCACAAGCCACGGATCACTGATAGCTGCAAATGGGTTATACACAGTCACAGTCAGTCACAGTCAGTGACTGACACAGGACTGCACCAGAGGCTTGCAGATCTACCCAATACAGAGAAACAAACACAAAGAAGCAGCCAAAATGGGAAGACAGAGAAACAGACCCCAAACGAAAGAACAAGAAAATTCCTTAGGAGAAGAACTAAATGAAATGGAGGCAAGCAATTTATCTGATACTGAGTTTAGAGCAATGATTATAAGGGTTCCCAGCAGCATGAAAAAATACATAGAAACCATGAAAAAGGACCAGTCAGAAATGAAGAATGTAATATCTGGAATAAATAATACACTGGAAGGAGTAAACAGTAGGTTAGGTGAAGCAGAGGATCAACTCACCCATTTGGAAGACAAGGTCGATTGCAATGACAAATACTTCGGTTCAGCTAATGGAGTACATTGTGCACCATGGCTTGTGTGGCACCTTGTCTGCACCTTTCATAGTAGCTGTTTCCTGGGGGATGGTCATCTTGGAGTGATTGGTCGGGTTCAGAGTACCACGGAATTAAGTCTTCATTCTCCAAAATTCTTCAACTCAGCTCCTTGATTTGGATTGGGATGTGTGTCCATAAATCAGTTTTGTGCTT